AAACATTCATATTTCAGGAAATTCTCTTAAACACTCAGTGCCAGCTGTTAAATATTTTTGTTATTGAACTTATTTTCCACAACCGTGGAGTCCATGTTAAGTGCCATTAGGGCAATGTTTGAAGTATATACAGTCTTAGGCATGTCTCCCAGTTAAGGAATTGGCAATACATATATTTTAGAAGCTGCAGAACAGGTTTTCATTATTTTTGTTGACAGAACTTTTTTCAGGTCTTGTGAGGTGTTTCCTTCTGCTTTGAGTTTGAGCTCTTCCCCACCCGAGACAGGGTCTCACTCTGTCGCTCAGGCTGGAGTGCAGTGGCCTGATCTTGGCTCACAGCAGCCTCTGCCTCCTGGGCTCAAGTAATTCTTCCACTTCAGCTTACCAGATGCTTTGAGATCTTTATGCATAAAAGTTTCGTCTATTTGCAGTGCAAGCCCTTTATCCCAAATCTTACCCTTCAGATTCCAGTTTATAGATTACTTCCTCAGGGAAGCCCTACTTGATTCCCCATTAAGTTAGGTTCCTCTACTTCTATAAGTATACTTTATTTTTCTTTTATGTCACACAGTATGTCATTTATTTGTGTAATTCTTCACTAATGTATGTTTTTCTCATTGCCCTGTAAGTGTTAGAAAAAAGTAAAACTTTTATTCTCTGTGATATCCCTGGTGACTGACCAAGTGTTTAATATATAGTGGATGCTTAGTAAGTTTACTAATTGTTAAAAGAATGAAGCTTTGCAACAGATGGTAGAAATTTATGGATTCAAAAAGTATTTTAGTTTTTAAAATGGGACTTTAATGCATTTAAAGTCCCATTTTGAATATAGTTCTAGATTGACATCCTGGAATATCATCACTAAAATGTATCTATTATTCTGTATTTATAATGCATTCAAAAGGATCCAGAAAGTGGCTTATCTTCATATTGTTTTCCATGAATTTCTTAGTTTATGGTGGAAAGGAAGTACATCATGATGTCTTGCCACATAAATATTTGACTGATATTTGACTGATTTGTTGATTTTGTTGTATATTTGTTTCTGGCTTATACTTAGTATGGGAGACACAAAATCCTTTTTCATTTTATTAGGCGTGCTTCCGTCTGTAGACTCAACTTTAGCACTGTCCAGTAGAGCTTCATACAATGATGGCCATGTTCTGTGTCTTTGCTGTCCTGTCCACTGGCACTTGAAATGGGGTGGCTAGTTTGATAGAGAAACTGAATTTTTAACTTTAATTAATTTAAATAGACTTGTTACTAAGTTATTAAGTCTATAACAGCCATTCCCACACACCAGCCAACCCTTCATTTATTTTTTAATCAGTTTTTGAGTGGACAATAAATTCACAAATTTAAAAATCAAAACTGTCATATAAAAGTTTATATAGATATGCCTCACTTCTATACCTTCCTCCCAACTCCTATAGGAAACTACTTTTTTATTAGTTTCTATTTATCTTTCTAGTATTAACACAAATACAAGTAAATAAGAATATTTTTATTTATCTTTCCTTACACAGTAAGTAATATGTTTTATGTGGTATTTTGCCTCTTGCTGGTTTTACTTGCAGTATCCTGAAGGTCTGTCCATTTTAATACATAGAGCTTTTTCTCATTCATT